CATAAACAACACAGGAGCAGGAATTGATAGAATAACAATTGAAAGGTTTCAACAAACAGATTCAACCAAGAAAATTGGAAGACAAACCTGGCCAACCAATTAGAGAAGATTCTTATTTGTGCCCATTCCAAAAAAAGGTAACTCAATAAAAAGTAGGAATTACTGAACAGTTATCATTAACATCACATGCCAGTAAATTTTCCTAAAGAGAACTCAAAAATGGTTGCAGCAGTACATCAACAGGGACTAACAGAAATTTAAGTCGGATTCAAAAGAGGGTATAGAACAAGGGATATCATTGCTGATGTCAGTCAGATGGATCTTTGCTGAAAGCAGAGAATACTAGAAAATGTTCACACTTTTGTTTTACGGACTCTCCAAAGGCACTGAACCACAAAGTTGGCAGTTCAAGCTCACCAGCTGCTCCTTGGAAACCCTCTACAGGGTTGCTATGAGTTGGAACCGACTCAGTCAGTGGCACTTAACAACAACAACAAAGGTATTTAGCCATGTGGACCATAACACTGCAAAAAATGGAAATTTCAGGACACTTACTTGTGCATATATGAAACCTGTCACAGTGTAGTTTAAAATTAGGAAAGGTGTGCATCCTGGTTGTATACTTGTACCATACTCATTCTATCAGTATGTTGAGCAAATAATCCAAGAAGCTGAACCATATGAAAAAGAATATAGCACCAGGCTTGTAGGGAAGGTTTATTAACAACCTGCAATATGCAAGTGACACACCCTTGCTTGCTGAACGTGAGGAGGACTCAAAGCACTGAAAAATAAAGATCAAAGGCTGTATCTTCAGTATGGATTACGTCAAAATGTCACCCACCCACTGTCACTGACTTAACTCTGACGCACAGCAGCCCAATATAAGATTTCTAAGGCTGTCATTTTTACAGAAGCAGAAAGTCTCATCTTTCTCCTGGGGAGCAACTGGTGGGTTTAAACTGCAGGCCTTGCAGTCAGCAGACCAGTGCTTATCCTACAGCACCACCTGAGCTCCTTACACCTCAATGTAAACAAATGATAAACTGAAAAAAGATGTCATTTTACTTGGATCCCCATTCAACACTCTTGGGAACAGTAGTTAAGAAATCAAACAACGTACTGCATTGGATAAATCTGCTGGTAAAACACCTCCTGAAAAACATGTCACTTTGAGGACTTGTTGTTAAGTGCCAAGTACCACTGAGTCAATTCTGACCCATAGGGTTTCTGAGGAGCAGTGGTGATCTTGAACTGATGACCTTGCTGTTCAAATAACTTTGCAATCCAGAGCATTAAAACACAGCGCCACACCAGAACTTCTAAGGTAAGTCTAACTCAAGTTATGATATTTTGAATTGCCATGTATGCATGTAAAAGCTGGACAATTAATAAGGAAGACCTGAAAAAAAAATAATGCCTTTGAATATTAAATATACCACAGACTGCCAGAAGAATGAACCTGGAAAGAGTATAGCTGAATTGCTCCTTGGTAGTGAGGCTAGCCGGACTTTGTCTCCCATACTTTCAACATGCTAACAGGAGGGACTAGTCCCTAGAGAAGGATTATCATGCTTGGTCAGTGAAAAAGAGGAAGACCCTCAATGAAATGAACTGACCAAGTGGCCACTAAACCACAACAATATCTTAGTATTTGAATATTAAACCCTATAGAGAAGTGCTTCTCAAACATTCATGTGCATGAGTCATCTGGAAATTTATAAAAATGTAGATTCTGAATCAGTAAATCAAGAGTGAGAGTGCTACTGATGCTTATGGCTCATGGACCAGATTTCTGAGTTGTTGTTAAGGGCCGTCAAGTTGGTTCTGACCCATAGCGACCCTGTATAGGGTTTCCGAGGAGCAGCTGGTGAGCTTGAACTGCTGACTTTGTAATTCAAACGACTTTGCAGTCTGGCGCATTAACCCACAGTGCTACACCAGGACATTTCTGAATAGCAGGGTTTTAAAAGGTTCCCAGGGTTTTTTTTATTTTCTTTTCTTTTTCCTCACTTATGCACATAGTTAGGTTCCAAAGACTAATAATCATTATGTAAAAATCAGCATTATAGGAAAATGGATGATGACCACATCAGATCACAAAACGGAGGACATGCCTATCATTACATAACCAAGAATTGTGGCCCAGTCAAGTTGACACATAATCTTAACCATCACAACCAGTGTTACTCTCACCCTGGCATTCATTACTGTAGGTGCACAGTAAAACCTGAGATAGCTAGAAACTATGTAAAATCAAAATCTGTCAGAAAAGGAAAACTCAAATATTTCCTACTAAATCAAGTGATAAAAATATGGTATGACTGCAATATCTACATTGGGAAACTTGGAAGACCCAGAAAAACAAAGCAGTGCTGTTGAATTTCAGCTCTCATTGGTTTCACTATATAAAAATGTAAAACTTGTACATCAAAAAGAACAATAAAGTTAAAAGCAAACAACAGATTGAGGGGAAAAAACGTTTACAGCATCCCTACCTTTTATAGTCTATGGCTTTGTGACAAATTAGTCTTCTTTCATATCCTATGGCTTTGTAACAAACTAGTCTATATTTTGAAGGAGGAGTGTGGTGGCTCCACAGGATAAGCACTGGACTGCAAACCACAAGGTTCACAATTCAAGCCCACCAGCTGCCCTGCAGGACAAAGATGGGGTCTTCTGTTCCCACAAAGATTTAAAAGTCTCGGAAACACTATACAGGGTCACTATGAGTCAGAAATGACTCAACAACATACAACATGCTTTGAAAGTTTCAGAAATTATCAAAGTGAAACTGAAGTTCATGTTTTTTCAATGGTTTACAAATGCCTGTTGCATATTTCCAGCTTTATCTCCAACACCTGTAGCACCACCTCCTACCCTATGTACAGATAACTCTATAACCAACCTGACAACTCCCCACACTATACTAAAATCTCAATGTCCTTAACAATCGTTTCCTAATCCTACAGCCATTTGTGTATAATATAGCAGAAGTCCTGGTGTGGTGCTGTAGGATGAGTATTGGACAGCTAACTACAAGGTCAGTGCTTCAAACTGACCGGCCACTCCTAGGAAACTCTATACAGGGTCATTATGAGTCAAAACTGACTCAATCACACTTAACAATGATGGATGGTGATGGAGGTGTGCCATGGAGTCAGTTCCAACTCATAGCGACCCTGTACAGGGTTTCCAAGGCTGTAAATCTTTACGGGAGTAGAAAGCCTATCTTTTTCCTGCGGAACAGCTGGTAGTTTCGAACTGCTAACCTTGAGGTTAGCAGCCCAGCAAGCCAAAAAAGAAGTCCCCAGTTCAGTGGACTCCTCTTTACCTTCAAATGATCTTTGTTCTGGCTTTTAGTCAAACATTCCATTACTGTATCCTATGATGAGACTCAAGTCCAACCTGTAGGATAAGCATTGGACTGCCAATCACAAGGTCAGCAGTTCAAATCTACCAGCAGCTCCACAAGAAAAAGATGAAGGTGTTTGCTCCCATAAAGATTTACAGTCTCAGAAGCCCTATATGCAGGGTGGCTATGAGTCAGGGGGTTTATTTTAGAGGGGTATCCATATCTAGGCAGAAAAACAGGGACTTTTCTTCACAATTACTCTCTCATGACATGCTTTCTTCTCATGCAATTTTTTTAAATGATACATAATTCAGATTTCATAAAATCAATCTGAATGTGTACAGGTAAGTGGTTTTTAGTCAGAATTATACAATCATCATCACTAGTTAACTTTAGACATTTTCATCCTCCCCATAAAACGAAACCTTGTACCCGTTAGCAGTTATTCTCCATACACTCCTCCCAGCATTAATATGTCTCTCTGAATTTGCCACTTCAGGCCATTTCATATAACTGGAACCACACAATACATGGCCTTTTGTGACTGACTTCATTCACTTAGAATATTTTCAAGGTTCATCCAGGTTGTAGCACATATATTCAATCCTCTTTATGGCTGAATAATATTCCACCATAGGAATTTATCATATTCTCCTTATCCATTCACCAACATTTTGGTTATTTATACCTTTTGGCTATTATGAATAATGCTTCTGTGAACATCACTGTACACGTTTTTGTATGGAAATATGTTCTCATTTCTTTGAGTATGTACCTAGGGGATGGAGTAGCTAGGTAATAGGGTAATGCTATAGTTAACTCTTTGAGGAACTGCCAAACTGTGTTCCAAAGATTTACCATTTTACATTCCTATAAGCAATATATGGGGATTTTACGCTTACATTTTCATCAGTTGAGGGTGCTATAACCGCTGGAAGGAAGTGAGAAGCGTGCAATCACAGTATAACGTTAGTGTCCTAGTAAGAAGAGTGCATTCACAGACGTATATTTCCAGCAGGAATACGAAGTACATGACTGGAAAGCAGGCGAGTTAACCTCTCAGAGCCTCCTGTTCCTTATTTGTCAAAGAACGCAGTAACGACATTGGCCTCGCAGTCGCCTTGAAGATGCAGTAAAACAACCACGTAAAGGTGTTTTTGACCACATTGATTACTCGTGATTCAATCCCGGCCAAAGCAGGAGAGCAAACTGCTAAATGCCCAAATCCCTGGCTCCCCCCTTTCCCCTTCCTCCCTCGCGGGAGGGGCTGCTGAGTGACAGCGGGGGCTGCAAGCCACTTCCCCTCGAGGGGCGCCGGGCTCCAAGCCACGCAGGAGAAATTGTGAGAGCAAAGCCGGGTCGCTCCAGCCCAACGAGATCCCAGGCCACAGACCCCTTAGCTTAGCAGGCAGCACCGGAGCTTTTTAATGGTTAACAGACATTTATTATAGAAGAAGCAGAAAAGGAAACGGAACGCAAGCATAGCCCCCAAGCCACGACCCCAGCCCAGTCTCAGTCTCTTCAATCCCCCAAAAGACAAATAACAAACTGGTCCATTACGAACCCAGGAGATATATCAACCCCAATTTCCTCGCCCCCCAGAGCCCTCTACCGGACCCCCAAGAGCAAATGGTGCAAAGCTTACCTGGTGGCTTCCAGCAGTCCTACCCGGCTCCGGCCAGGCGCCCCCAGAAGGATAGTAGCTGTCGCCTCCTCCGCCTTCTACCTGCCAGGTGGGCTCAGTCGGGCCGCCCCCGCGCACCCGCCAGGGAACGGGAGGCTGGGGAGGTTCAGAGCGTGGAGAATATAAGGGCGGAGGTGGGTGCACCGGCACATCTCCACCCCCAGGCCCGTAGTAGCGGCCATAAGGCGGACCTTCACTAGGGCCGTAGCCCGAGCGCCTCAGGGCGGACATCGGCTCCACTGCCCCGAAGTGCTTCCCGCCCCCCCGCCCACGGCCGGCCCATTGCGCAGGCGCCTGCCAGCGACCGTGAATGGAGAGCAGTGAAAGGGGGTAGGACAATTAAAGCCAATCCCAGGACCGATCCCGCCCCTCCTGCTGCTGAGTCTGCGTTGTGGACTACACGTCTGCGAATCTGGTACCTCGGAAGTACGAAGGCGAGAAGGAGGATGGTGTTCATTTGAAGAGACAACACATTTCCCCACCTTTTATTAAGTCTAGACGCCTCTTCCCTTATCAGGAATGGGGAAAGGATGTTCGGAGTCCACACAACGGCCCCACCTCTCCTGAGGACGGACACGTGATGCCGGAAGTAGGCGTGGTAATATGGAAGCGTTTCCGGCTGGCCCCGGCGGCTGAAAGCCGGGGCGGGCGTGTGGTACCCTTACGGGTTCCTGTCCCGGTCCCGCCGAGGCGGCGACTACGGTAGCAGAAACGAGGTGTTGGGCCCGCAGCGGCTATACATTGCAATCTCCGCTCAGCTCAAGATGAACTATATGCCCGGCACCGCCAGCCTCATCGAAGACATCGACAGTAAGTAGCTCCTCTCCTCCCGGGCGGGCGCCTCTTCGAAAGTATAGTGTGGAATGAGTCGGTAAAGGGGGCAGATTCTTTTGAACCCAGTTCTGGGTGTTCCGCGTTGACATTCTCGACACACAGGGTACACGCCTCGTAATAACCCACACACCCTACTACCTGTATTCTGCCCCCACGCAGCCTCCGCAGACCCCTGACTGTGGAGTTAATTCATTTCTGTCCTGGAGGGACGGGAGCTGGGACCCGAACACGAAAGTGCCCTCCACACTTTTCCCCCGCCCACTGTCTTCCACCTGCAATATATGGAAGTAATCAGCATTCCTGAGAATGGCCCAGAATACTTGAGAGAGAAAGGATCCATCAAGAAATGGAGATATTAACCAATGCCCACTAAACTTAATTAGCAGTTAAACGGAGGTTTGAGCTGATGTGATGTGGTCGGCCATCGAGTTAGTTCCAACTCATAGCGAGTCATAGGGTTTTCGAGGCTGTGAATCTTTACGGGAACAGAAAGCCTCATCTTTCTCACGCAGAGCTGCTGGTGGATTCGAATTGCTGGCCTTGCTTTTAGCCATACCAACTCTTAACCCACTACGCTACCAGGGCTCCTTTTATTCTGATGCAGCCGTCTGCAATAGTCTTTTACAGTAATGGTCTGAGTGCTTTCAGGTGATGGCAAGGGCGCCCAATGCTAGGCGTGGTATTAACGTTTGTTGGAAGGGCTCAGACAATCCTCTGCTTTTTCTAAGATTTCTAAAAAAAGATATGTCTTTACTTTTGCAGCATATTCTCCGTGGATTAATTCCTCAAGCATGTGTTTTATGGTTTTAATTATGTGATTTGTCTCTTTGACTTGTAATTGCTGCAGAATGGTTTGCACACAACTCCATACAAGTTGCAACAATCTCTAATATTATTGTCTGTAGCATTAGAGGAGTCTGTGATTAAATTCTCTTTGTGGTTCTTTGCAATGATTTTTTAAAATCCAAATTCATTATTTTGCTATTGAAGGGAAATGTAGAGTAAATTGGACCAAATCCACAAGTGGACAATCGCTGTGCAAGTTTATTTGTAGTAAATAAGGAAATGTCTTAGTTATCTGAGGATGCCCTTTTCTCCCTTACCTCTGTTGTTGTGTTGTGGTTGTTAGGTGTCATCCAGTCGGTACCGACCCATAGCGACATTATGCACAGCAGAACGAAAAACTGCCCGATCCTGGGCCAACCTCACTACTGTTGCCACGCTTGAGTCCATTGATGCTGCTGCTACTTGACCAATCCATCTCGTTGGGGGTCTTCCTCCTTTTCTCTGGCCCTCTACCTTACCAAACATGATATCCTTCTCCAGCGACTGCTCCCTCCTGACAATATGGCCAAAGTATGAGAGACAAAGTTTGGCCATCTTGGCCTCTGAGGACCACTCTGGTTGCACTTATTCCAAAATGGATCAATTTGTTTTTTTTGGCAGCCCATGGCACTTTCAGTATTTTCCTCCAACACCATAACTCAAAGGCATCAATTCTTCTACGGTCTTCTTATGAACAGCTTTTGCATACATATGAGGTTATTGAAAATACCATGACTTGAGTCAGGTGCACCTTAGTCCTCAAGCTGACATCTTTGCTCTACAACACTTTAAAAAGGTCTTGTGCAGAAGATTTGCTTAATGCAATACCTTGTTTGATTGTTGCCACTTTTATGAGTGTTGATAGTTGATCCAAGAAGAATGAAGTCCTTGACAACATCAGTCTTTTCTCCGTTGATCAAAATGTTGTTTATTGGTCCAGTGGTGAGGATTTTTGTTTTCTTTACATTGAGATAAAATCCATACCGAAGGCTGTACTCTTTGATCTTCATCAGTAAATGTGTTAAGTCCTCTTCACTTTCAGCAAGCAAGGTTGTATTATCTGCATATCACAGGTTGTTAATGAGTCCTCCTCCAATCCTGATGGCATGTTTTTCTTCATAGAACCTAGCTTCTCAGATTATTTCGTCAGCATACAGGTTGAATAAGTATGTCGCACACCTTTCTTAATTTTAAACCATTCAGTGTTCCCATGTTCTGTTCGAACAACTGCCTCTTGGTCCATGTATAGATTCCTCATGAGCACAATAAAGTGTTCCAGAATACTCATACTTTGCAATGTTGTCCATAGCTTGTCATGATCCACACAATCGAAAGTCTTTGTGTAGTCAATAAAGCACAGGTAAACATCTTTCTGATATTCTCTGCTTTCAGCCAAGATCCATCGGACATCAGCAATGATAGCCCTCGTTCCACGGCCTCTTCTGAATCCAGCTTGAACCTCTGGAAGTTCTCTGTCAATGTATGATTGTAGCCGTTTCTGTACTACCTTTAGTAAAACTTTACTTGCATGGGATATCAAAGAGATTGTCAGATGATTTCCTCATTCCGTTGGGTCACCTCTCTTTGGAATGGGCACAAACATTGATCTCTTCTAATCAGCTGGCCAGACAGTTGTCTTCCAAATTTCTTGGCAGAGATGAGTGAGTGCCTCCTGTGCCGTCTCACTTTCTTGAAAGATTTCAATTTTTATTCCATCAATTCCTGGTGCAAAGGCTTTAAGTATTTATGATTCTGAAGTGCTATCAGAACATCTACGTAGAAAAGTCACTAGGCAGTTTGAAATAAAAGAATTGAAATGCCAAGCAGGTCAGAACTAGAAGAGAACATTTTGGACAAACCTACAAGGAGGTTATAGTGCAGGCAGCCTAGATATTTTAAAAAGTAGATCAGAGAAGAAATCCAAAAGACTATGTATCTTAGGGAACAGAAGTTTGAAAAGTAAAATCAACAAGTACCAGTATCAGAGAAGTCAAAATAATAGAATTAAAAATATAGTATTGATAGTTAACAATGTTGAAGTTGTTGTTTCCCAGGCTTTTAAAATCTTAGAAGGAGCAGAAAGCCTCATTTTTCTCCAGCCATGTGGTTGGAGGGTTTGAACCATGGACAGTGTTACAGAGGAGGAGAATTCAAAAAGATGTGTCAGAGTGCTTTCTTGATGACTTTAAGGAATTCAGTTTCAGTTGGGTGGTGATAGAAAGAAAAAGAGACCTCCTCTCCCACCCCCAAAACAAGAGATTACAGGATAACAGAGGTGCCTATCACCCAAAACAAAAAACAAACACATTGCTGTAGAGTTAATTTATACTCATAGAACTCTATAGGATAGAGTAGAACTACAACTTAAGGTTTCCAAAGATGTAATCTACAGAAGCAGACTCCCACATCTACCTCCCTTAGAGCTGAGTATGGGTTTGAACCACCTACCTTTGGACTAGCAGTAGAATGCTTAACCCACTGCACCATCAGGGTTCCTTGAAGTCGATCACAGGTAATCAGAAAGCAGAGTGAAAATGAAGATGAGAAAAGAGTGAAACTATGAAAAGAGATGGAAGTTTGATGGGGAGACACAGCTGAGAAAAACATCTGAGTATGGACAAACAAGAACAGACATGAAGGGAACAATCCAAGAGAGACAGAAAAGGAAGGAAAAAAAAGTACAGAACAAACAAGGTTCCAGAAGCAGTGGAAAGAGAGTAAATATATATACAAACAGGATGAAAGGAATACTTACTCAAATGAGCAGATAGGTGAAGATACAGAAAGACTGGGGAGAGTAAAGAAAATGTCACAGAAGATGGGGGTAGTGGGGAGGCTACAACTGCTGTTTTGAGGTAGTATAATTCTAAGAGCACAGAATTTTTCCAGGAAGGGTTAGAGAGACAGATACATTTCTAACCATCTATACCTTCTTAAACGTACACACCTACATGGAGGACACGACAAACAACAAATGCTTCACATTTTGACAATTTTGTTTAATAAATGTATGATTTTGTAGCAATACCTTCGACTTACCTTTGTATAGTCTTAGAAATCTGCCAATGGATATTGGTGATGGTTGCACACTATAATCAACATAATTGGTGTTGCTAAATTGTATGACATAGGGTCACTATGAGTTGACACAACAACTTGTACACGTGAACATTTAAACTGGCAAATATGCTGCATGTAGTTTTATAACATAAAAAGGGAGTGAGGAATCTACAAATAGGTAGGGGTTAGAGACATTCAAACATATATTATTTTTAGTAAATGGCAGAATGTGTTAAAGGCTTCGAATAATGTAGGAATACAGCAAGAAAGAAGGAAAAAGTCAAAATGGATGTCAGAAGAGACACTGAAACTTGCTCTCCAGCGTAGAGATGCTAAAGCAAATGTAAGAAATGAGGAGGTCCAAGAGGGTCACTATGGGTCGGAACCAACTCGACGGCACTTAACAACAACAACAAGAGCTAAACAGAAAATTTCGAAGATGAGCTACAAAGATCTGGAAGCAGAAAACCAAGAAGGAAGAACATACTCAGCATTTCTCAAGCTGGGAGAACTGAATTAAAAATTCAAGCCTCGACTTTCGTTATTGAAAGATTCTCTGGGCAAATTATTGAGTGATGCAGAATGCATCCAGAAAAGATGGAAGGAATACACAGAGTCACTGTACCAAAAGGAAATGGTTAATGTTCAACCATTTCAAGAGATACCATATGATCAAGAGCCAGTGATACTCAGAGAGGAAGTCCAAAGTGCATTGAAAGAAGTGGCAAAGAACAAGGCACCAGGAATTGATGGAATAAAAATTGAAATCTTTCAGGAAAGTGAGGCAGCACAGGAGGCACTCACTCATCTCTGCCAAGAAATTTGGAAGACAACTGTCTGGCCAACTGATTAGAAGAGATCAATGTTTGTGCCCATTCCAAAGAGAGGTGACCCAACGGAATGAGGAAATCATCTGACAATCTCTTTGATATCCCATGCAAGTAAAGTTTTACTAAAGGTAGTACAGAAACGGCTACAATCATACATTGACAGAGAACTTCCAGAGGTTCAAGCTGGATTCAGAAGAGGCCGTGGAACGAGGGCTATCATTGCTGATGTCCGATGGATCTTGGCTGAAAGCAGAGACTATCGGAAAGATGATTACCTGTGCTTTATTGACTACACAAAGGCTTTCGATTGTGTGGATCATGACAAGCTATGGACAACATTTCAGAGTATTCTGGAACACTTATTTGTGCTCATGAGGAATCTGTACCTGGACCAAGAGGCAGTTGTTCGAACAGAACATGGGAACACTGAATGGTTTAAAATTAAGAAAGGTGTGCGACATACTTCTTCAACCTGTATGCTGACGAAATAATCTGAAAAGTTGGGTTCTATGAAGAAAAACGGCATCAGGATTGGAGGAAGACTCATTAACAATCTGCGATACGCAGATGATGCAACCATGATCACTGAAAGTGAAGAGGACTTGAAACATTTACTTATGAAGATCAAAGAGCACAGCTTTCGGTATGGATTACATCTCAATGTAAAGAAAACAAAAATCTTCACCACTGGACCAATAAACAACATTCTGATCATTGGAGAAAAGATTGATGTTGTCAAGGACTTCATTCTTCCTGGATCAACTATCAACACTCGCGGAAGTAGCAGTCAAGAGATCAGACGACGTATTGCACTGGGCAAATCTGCTGCACAGGTTTAAAGTGTTGAAGAACAGAGATGTCAGCTTGAGGACTAGGGTGCACCTGACCCAGGCCATTGTGTTTTCAGTAGCCTCATATGGATGCGAAAGCTGGACAGTGAATAAGGAGGATCGTAGAAGAATTGATGCCTTTGAGTTGTGGTGTTGGAGGAGAATACTGAAAGTGCCATGGACTGCCAAAAGAACCAATAGATCTGTTTTGGAAGAAGTGCAGCCAGAGTGCTCCTTGGAGGCCAGGATGGCTAAGCTTCGTCTCTCCTACTTTGGACATATTGTCCGGAGGAAACAGTCGTTGGAGAAGGATGTCATGCTGGGTAGGGTGGAGGGTCAGAGAAAAAGAGGAAGACCCCCAACAAGATGGATCAGCAGGTGGCATCATTGATGGACTCAAGTGTGGCAGCGGTAGTGAGGTTGGCCCAGGATCGAACATTGTTTCGTTCTGCTGTGCATGGGGTCGCTATGAGTCGGTTCCGACTCGATGGCACCTGACAACAACAAATGCCTAAAGTACTTTCTAGAAGCAGAACATATGATCAAGATACCAAATCTGAAAAGAAAAAAAAGATAGCAATTCTGCCCTAAGAAATAGTCTTCACTGGACTATATAATTAAGTAGAAGACAGTTCTTAATTGAAATAATAGGTGATGAAGTCAGAAAGAGGCCAGCTTGAGTTTGGACTTTACTTCATCAGTAATAAGAAAATGCTGAGGAGTAATGATCAGGCAGAAAAGGGAGAAGAGTTAGGGGGCTGTTTTCAGAGTATATCTGAAACTAGAAGAAGAGATAATCAAGGCACAAAGAAGAACAAACAGGATGAAAAGACTAAGATTGTGCAGGTAGAGTAATGGGATCTGTCAATTGAGTCTGTATACGCGAATATGTGTGAGAGGGTAGTGTGTGAAGAGGTAAATTAAAGAAGCTAGTTTTCAGTCATCATGTCAGGGATTATTTACCAAAAGATGGGAATAACAAGAACCAAGTTTAGGGTTATTGTTGTTGCTAGGAGCCATCAAGGTGGTACCGACTCATAGTGACCTATGCACAGCAGCACGAAAAACTGCCCGATCCTGGGCCAACCTTACTACTGTTACCACGCTTCAGTCCATCAATGGCTGCTGCCACTTGGCCAATCCATCTTGTTGGGGGTCTTCCTCTTTTTCTCTGACCCTCCACCTTACCAAACATGATAGCCTTCTCCAGTGACTGCTCCCTCCTGACAATATGTCTGAAGTATGAGAAGAAGTTTGACTAACCTGGTCTCCAAGGAGCACTGTGGTTGCACTTCCAAAATGGACCAATTTGGTTCTTTTGGCAGCCCATGGCACCTTCAATATTCTCCTCCAACACCATTACTCAAAAGCATCAATTCTTCTCCCGTCTTCCTTATTCACTGTCTAGTTTTCGCATGCATATGAGGTTATTGAAAATACCATGACGTGGGCCAGGTGCACCTTAGTCCTCAAGCTGACATCTTTGCCCAATGCAATATGTCGTTTGAATTCTTGACTGCTGCTTCTGTGAGTTTCTATGCATAGCAGAGAAACTTTAGGCATAGCAGTAAAGAAATGAATGAAATTTTGCTGACATTTCTAGTGACGGGCTTATTCTCATTCTTCACATGTGAGCTCAAAGTCCCCTCTTCAGAGAGGTTTTCCCTCACAAGCTTTTCTTCTATAATTACTTTCACTCTCTACTCATCTGTCTTGTGTATTATTTCAGTGTACTAATCACTGTAGGTAATTTTCTTACTTGCTTAGAACCATCAGACATAGAAATTAATAAGTTTGATGATTTTCTGAGTTTTATTCTGTACTGTATATCTAGACCCCAGAAAAACACATAAACCAAAAACCAAACCCACTGCAGTCTTGTCAATTCCAATTCATAGCAGCCCAGTAGGATATAGTAGAACTGGCTTTACAGGGTTTCCAAGGTCGTAAATATTGATAAAAGCAAGACTACCTCATCTTTCTCCCAAGGAGTGACTGGTAGCCACTCATAGTGATGCTTTAGTTCACCATAGGACTAGGGTTTTCAAGGCTGTAAATTTTCATGGAAGCATCTTTCTCCAATAGAGCACCTGGTGGGTTTAAACTGCCAAATTTTGGATAGTAGCCCAATGCTTAACCCACTTCACTACCCCAGGGCTCCTTAGAAATGCACATGTTGTTACATGCTGTTGAGTTGGTTCTGACTTATAGCAACCTCTACATAGGGTTTCCAAGGAGCACGTAGCTCTCAATAAAAGTCTACCTTAATTTCAAAGCATGAGAGAGAATCTATTCTTTTAAATTGAGGAGGAATATTTCTAGAATTGGATTGTGAAAATCATCTAGACTATTTCACAATTATCAAATTTGGACTTGACACTGAGAGGGTGTGCATGTCAAGCGTCAGGGTATAGAGCCAGCCAAGCCAGGCTTCCTGGCCCTTAGCCCAGTCCTTGACGTAATTACACTCATTCACCACAGATCTCATTTAAATCCCAGGATGCCTTGGACCTCCAACCACATTTCAAGTGATGGAATCCACCTTAGGTACAATGGAAGAGAAAGTGCTACAGCTAAAAAAACCCTGCTACTTATATTTCTGTTGCTTCTGAGTAAACTCACTGAAACTATAGTTCTTATTGTAAAGGTCTGTATTCTTCTCTTCCCAGAAAAGCACTTGGTCTTGCTTCGAGATGGAAGGACACTTATAGGCTTTTTAAGAAGCATTGATCAATTTGGTATGTATGAATTATGGACTTTCCCTTATCTGACACTTGAACGAATATAGTTGCCCATTGCATTTTATGTCTATGTGAATTCATGTTGAAATTTATCACATTTGCCGTGTTGAGCATAGTGGAACACTATTTTGAGTCAATATATCTTTTTTTTTTTTTTTCCTGAGTAGGTGGTTCAGAAAGCTTACATATTTACAAGCTTGTTTATCTAAAACTGGTTTTCACCAGAATATACAGTTACAATGTTTTAGACTTTTTTTCATTGTTTCCCCTGTTGTTGTAGAGTGTCTTCAAGTCAGGTCCAACTCCTAATGACCCTGTATAGGGCTTCCTAGGATCAGCTGGTGGATTTGAACTGCTGACCTTGTCACAGTCCAGTGGAGATTATACAGCACCACACCAGGAGTCCCATTTCCCCCATTAGAGGGAGCCAAATGATAGAAATAAATTTAATACACTAAAAAAAAAAACCTCATTTGTAATTGGCCTGGGTGCAACTACTCTTCATAACAATTACTTCACTGAAGGTAATCCCTCCCTAGCCAATAAAAATTTGGTAGAAGGTATTTTCTGAATTTTTTTTAGACAGTAACTGCAACATGAAGCTCATGGCTATACACATAGGGATATATCAGACTTAGGTGTTTCAATCTTTGTTTAAGTAAAAGATACATGTTTCCTTCTGTTTCAAAGCACTTCTAATTTCACATTGACATTTGTTGATCATTTGCCCAAAATTATAAAAAATCAAAGCATGACTTTATGCTTTTCTTCAAAGATAAATAGTACCCAGTTGAAAGAAGAAAAATAATTATTCTTAACATACTGGGATTCATAACCTATGGATATCTGCATTGGGTTAAATTAATCCTGTTAACTACTGATTAACCAAAAACAAACCCATTGCCTTGAGTGGATTCCAACTCATACTGGCCCTTTAATTCAGAATAGAACTAAGGTTTCTAAGGCTGTAAATCTACAGAAGCAGTCTACTTCATCGTTCTCCAACAAAGCCCTTGGTAGGTTCTAACTACTGACCTTGCAGATAGAACCCCAATGATTAACTTACTGTGCCACCAGGGCTCCTTAAGTATTTACTGACAAAAAGTTAACTCTTTGGCTTTTTACGAAGATGGCGCCAAAAGGGAAAAAGGAAGCCCTTTGCGCCTCCCAAAACTGAAGCCAAAGCAAAGGCATTGAGAGCCAAGAAGGCAGTGCTGACAGGTGTTGACAGCTATAAAAAATGAAAGATTCTCATGTCGCCCACCTTCCAAGTGGCCCAAAACCTTGAGGCTTCAAAGGCAACCCAAATCCTCTGAAGATCGTCCCCAGGACAAACAAACTTGACCACTGTGCCATCATCACATTCCCTCTTGACTACCAAGGAGATTGAAGATAACACGTGTTCATTGTGAATGTCAAGGCCAACAAACACCAACTAAATTAAATAGGCTGTGAAGAAGGGCTATGACATTGACGTAGTCAAGGTCAACACTTGACCAGGCCTGATAGACAAAAGTGTGTATATGTTTGACTGGCTCCTGTGATGCTTAGATGTTACCAACAAAATTGGGATCATTTAAACTGTGATCAAATAAATGATTAATTCTAAATATAAAGTTTTTTCAGTACATTAAAAAAATTTTTTTAAGTTAAATCTTTGGATCTTTGTAGTTGTTTAAGCTTTAGAGTTTTGAAGTTTTCTACTCATTTATATTTTTCTATAGCCATGCTGCCAGGAAAGACCTTCAAAAAGTTTGTGAAAAATTGGAGCTCAAAGATAATGGAGTTTTTCCATGGGCTTTCTTAAGTCTCCTCATATTAGAATTAACTGATAAAGAGATTTGGGTTCCGAAGTTAATCCTATCATTGGTCATGTATTAGTGCAACATAATCCCACATATTATTCTAGTTTGCAGTTGTTTAAAGTTCTCATAAATGGTGTGTCTTACTCAATGAAATTTTAGAAGATTGTTTGGCATTTTTGCGTTTCCCAGAATAAAAATAGATAATCTAGTGAAATCTTTTCTACTCAAAATAACTAATTGAATTACAGAGCTTTACCCAATAATTTGAACTAAACATATTTGTTTCTTCCCTATACATTTATAGCTAACTTAGTGCTACATCAGACTGTGGAGCGTATTCATGTGGGCAAAAAATACGGTGATATTCCTCGAGGGATATTTGTGGTCAGAGGAGAAAATGTGGTCCTACTAGGAGAAATAGTAAGTGAACACTGTTAAGCTGCTATGGATTTTAATATTCATGCTAGTTAGGTTTCTTTTTGTCTTTTCAAGAGTGAAAAGTATTTTTCCACACTTTACCCAGCTTCCCTCAGACTACCATCAAATTAAGAAAGCTACAAAGATGAGACTTTCTGCTCCCGAAGAGATTTGAAAGCCTATACCGGGTCGAAACTGACTTAAAGGCACTTAACAACAATAACAGTTGTATGGAGGGCAGCTACAGAGAAGAATTAACCTTGTTTCAGTGCATCTTAGCATTTAAAAAATTATCACATTGGCAGCAAAAAAAGTACTGGTTTAATTAATTTCATAAAAAATACTGTCCAGAAAAAAAAAAAGTACTATCCAGTACAAATATATTGTTAATTAATGTAGTATTTCTGATATTTAAATTAGTAAAAGCTTGATGTCTAACAAGAGAATAATAATCAGTAACATAAGATTTATGTGTGCTAGACTATTTTGCAGTTATTTATATATTTGGTTAGAAATAGTTGTCACATAATGCTAATTAGTGGTGATTGAAGAAAGGACATATTGCATATGCAGTGTGATGCCTATGTTTTTTAAAATTGAAAGAAAGTTGACTTGGAGAAGCCTTTCTGTTAAGCATCCTGACAGTGGAGTTCACTGCTAAGGAGGAGGTACTTGTGTATCTGCCAGGAAGATCAACTGGCAGATAAAACGTTAAATCCCATCTTCTGAAGTGTGGTTGCTACGTGTTTTAGTGTTTTATGTAAATATATCGCCATAACACACACACACAAAACTGTTAAAAAATGATTTCATATAACTGGAACTTCTATAAATACTGTTTAAAAATAAAATATAGCACTGATTTCGTGTGCGTCTTTGGTGCTGTTTGGTTTGTAGTTTTGTTTTTTAACAATATGCCATTTGCAAAAATGAGATAATTCTGCCAGGTTCATGTTTTCATGTTGGTTCAAGACTTCCTGTTAAAAACAGAAGTAACTAATGAATACAATTAATTCCACCCAGTGCTGCTGTGAGATGTCAGAAATACTGTTTTCAAAATATTTTTCTGGTTGATATTTGGTAAAGTTTGTTACATGCTTTAAGCATCAGAAATTTTCACTAACAACACAATGCCATTTATAGTGTGTTGTGTGCCATCAAGTCGGTCATACTCATTATGATCCTGTATAGGATTTCCAAGGAGCTGCTAGTGGGATTGAACTGACAACCTTTCTGTTAGTAATCCAGTGATTATCCCACAGTGCCACACCAGGACTACCACTCCCATAGTAGGTTGCTTTATTTCAGTATCCTGAAATATAGCATAATTTAAGAAGTCCTGGTGTGGTGTGATAGAATAAGCACTGGACTGCTAACTGCAAGGTCAGCGGTTCAAACCCACCAACTGCTCCTTGAAAACTCTGTACAGCTGGGGCAGGGCACCTTTTTTCTGCCAATATTTATAATATCTTTTACAAACCATACAAAATTAGCATGCTATGTTTGGCTAAACATTTGATTACAAACATTTAATTAATTCATCCCTAATGTGATAGCTAAGGAGCTCTGGTAGTGTAGTGGTTACTAATCGAACTGCTAATCTCATGGTCAGCAGTTTGAAACTACCAACTGTTCCGTAGGAGAAGGATGAGGCTTTCTGCTCCCGTAAAGATTTACAGCCTCAGAAACCCTGTACAAGGTTGCTAGGAGTCAGAACTGATGGCTGGAGTCCTGGTATGGCACTGTGGGCTAAAGCACTGGACTGCAAGGTTGGTTTGAACCATGGGTCGGTGCTTCAAACTCACCAGCTGCTCCTTGGAAACTCTATGCAGGATTGCTATGAGTTGTAACCGACTCCACAAGCACTTAACAACAATGTGATAACTGGAACTGCAGTTGCCTTGGCAGGGCCAGACCAAATGATTTCATAAACCTTATATGGTCCTGGAGCCCTAGTGTGGTGCTGTTAGTTAATGCGCTGGACTGCAAGGTCAGCTTGAACCAGAAGGTTGGTGGTTCAAACTCACCAGCCACTCCTTGGAAACCCTACACAGTGTCACTATAGGTTGGAATTGACTGGCCCTAGGGCCAGACATTCCCCACCCCTGCTATATGGGATTCCTATGAATTGAAACTAATTCCACAGCATTAACTCTATAGGGGTGGGGCAGTAGTAAATGTCTTTAAAATACTTTGTTAGCATATTAAAAGAAGCTAACCCATCTTTGGTTGGTGGGATTATGAGTGATTTTTCCTTTTTTATACTTTCCTGAATTTAATTTTTAAAGAGGAAACATTACTTTGTGGGGTGTGACTTGTAATATTTACACACATATACTCTGCTTCTTATTTTTTAGTGATCACAAGTCATTATTTTTGTGCCCCTAGTTAGATGTGTGTGAGAGAAAACAGTGAACCATATGTTTGTATTTCAAAAATCGTTGTTTCTTGGAGTCCTTGGGTGGAAAAATGTACTCGTTTTTTAAAATAAGGCTTGGATGCTGCAAAATTTTACAGTAGCATCATTAAAGAAACATGATTTAGGAATGCTTACATAACCATATGACTCAACAGTTAGTCTGAAGAAACTGTGTACCAATCCTTGGGAACCTCATACCCAGATGTCATTTAAATTCTATAAACAAATACATTACTTAGAAGTCACGGGATTCTGCCTCAAGGATGATGATGCACATAGTCTTGAGTAATACATCTGATTATTGGAAAGTAGCAGCATCGTAACAACTGATTCAGTGAGCAACATAACCGAAAAGCTCAAGATGCAGTCCACTAAGCTGAGAACATTGTGTTTCCTTCTGCTACTGCCCACCCATAAGCTGTACGAGCAGGTTACACATGATAATGCGTATCTTCCTCAGTGCTGTTGATGTGTCACACAAGGAAAGGCTAATGTAATTTGGGTGGCTTTCGTTAAAAACCTCTGTGGTGAAAATTCTATATCTGATAAGCCGCAGCCTTGTGGGTTCTGAGACCTTGACATCATGTATCCAGTTGCTAGGTTGAGGCATCTGGTGCATTCCTGTATATGTCTGTGCCTTACGAAATTGTTATACACGAAAGTCATAGAGGAGGAAGAATGAGAAACAAGAACACCTGTCTGTAAGCTTTCCATGATTCAGTAATGTAGAATAGTGTCTACATTTAGGGTGTGTATATTTTAAGGAGAATAAACAGAATCTGTGGATAGTAAGAAACGCTTATAGCAAGGTTCTTTTGCATTGTGATATTGGTTATCAAATGTTTGTAAAGTGTTCAGAATAACAAGTTATACCATATCGAGGGGAAAAAAATTAGTCAATATTTGCATAGTAGTTTTATATGTACCTAGAAAAATGGAAAGATACTCACCAAAATGTTCTCTCTTCATACTGAAATTAGGGATAATTTCCTTCTTTACTTTTCTAAATTTCCTACAATAAGAATATGTATTTTAAGTAGGGAATTTACTTATTTTGTGTTTAATTAAGCAAAAAAATATAAATATATTGTGCTCAAACTGGTTTAGTAGCCTGGTTGGTCTGCTAAGGTGTTACCTAAAAGCCATGTTACCATGGAAGGAAAAAGGAACTTTTAAAGACCCCTGATTAATGCAATAGAAGGATGACTTACTGCCTTTCAAGGGGGTAGGGGAGAAGTGTGTGTGTAATGATACTTTAAATCTGTGCTTTCTACCTTCTTAACTGAGCAACAACCCTCAGAAACGAAACTGACTTTGATCGTGTGGAAATATAAAACCTTTCTAAAGTCATTTTGACCTCAGTAATTTCTGTCTTGGAAAAGTTAGTCCTTGACTACAATTTTGCCCTGGTTTGGTGTTGTGGATTAATGCGCTGGACTGCAAAGTCAGTGTGATCTGCAAGGTCAGTGATTCACGCTTACCAGCCACTCCTTGGAAACCCTCTACAGGGTCTCTATGGGTCAGAACTGACTTGACAAAACTTAAAAACAAGAACAAAGCATTGTTAAGAGCCTCTGTGGTACTAATGATTAAGTACTGAGATACCAAAAAGTTGGTGGCTCAGAGTCTCCCAAAAGTCCCATGAAAGTAAGGCCTAGTTGTCTGCTTCTGAAAGGTCACAGCCTTGATCACCCTATGGAACAGTTCTATTCTGCACACACAGTGGGTTTAAAGGCAATTAATTACAACAAAAGTTTTGTTGTACACATTGATGCTGATCCCTTTTAACCATATTTATATTAAATTTGTATTCTGTAGTAATGTTGCCAGCCTTAGAGGAAAGATATTTCAGCCATATAAATTATGGGGGGGGAAAAAAAAACCCTGCCTAATCTGAGAGTCTATTTGCATTTAGACAGGTAATGTTTTCTTATACTTGGTCTTCAGGTAACATTTTTCAAACCTGCTTGCTTTGTAGGACTTGGAAAAGGAAAGCGACACACCCCTCCAGCAAGTGTCCATTGAAGAAATCCTGGAAGAACAAAGGGTGGAACAACAGACCAAGCTTGAAGCAGAGAAGCTAAAAGTCCAGGCTCTTAAGGATCGAGGTCTCTCCATTCCTCGAGCAGATACTCTGGATGAATATTAAGTCTTTTGCCCAAGAGCAGCTCAGGGTTAGGAGCTGTCACTGAAATGAAAGTGACATCATGGTCACCTTTGACCAGAGACTGTAGAATTTTGAAAAGTCATTTTTATTTGGAATTCATTCACTTATGCAACATGAAGGAATCATGTGGGGATTTTTGTTTTGTTTTAAATAACATAATCATTGTGTAAAGAAACAGTGGCATGGACTCCTTTCTTCATCACTGTGGAGCCAGCAACTACTTCTTTATATTGCTTTCCTTATTCCAAATTAGACTACACAAGTGACAGTCTTCTAAATAAAATATGAATCCCCAAACATTATCCCCCAAATTTGAACTGCCTCCATTGAATAGATAAAATGAAGATTCTACTTTCAAAGGTATAAGCTGTCTACACCGGAATTTCCCTCTTGGGTCACAATTTCACTTCATGTTTGAGAGGAATCCTGGTGTGGTGCTGTGGAATAAAGCACTGGACTGAAAGGTTGGTTTGAACTACAAGGTCAGCAGTTCAAGCCCACCAGCCACTGTATGGGTGAAAGAACGAGGCTATCTGTTCCCATAAAGACTGCAGCCTCAGAAAAAAACCCTCTGGGGCAGTTCTACTTTGTCCTGTAGAGTTGCTATGAGTTTGAATCGAGTTGGCAGCAGTGGGTTTTGAGTTTTGTTGAAGTGGGAGACCCAGGTTAGATTTCAGGTCTTTACACCTCATGTGTAACCACCACTTATCTGTTGGAGGCTTACCTATTGCTATGATGCTGAGCATGTTTCAGGTGAGCTTTTAGACTAAGACAAGGAGGAAAGACATGGTGATTTACTTTAGAAAATCAATGAAAACTGAAGACTACAAGTTTGCAGTTCCAGTGTCCACTAGTCAGGGGCCAACTCTATTAACAGCCAGCAGCAACACTGATTTTGCAAAGCAATGACACTGTTATTCCTCTTCTCTTTCACCAACAGCTATTCTAAACTAAGATCTCATGAGATCTATCATTTTGTTACAGGTGGCTTTTTCTCTAATCTATTGATTTAATTCTCTAGCCTTTAGATTGAGTCCTGCACCACTTGATCATGAAAAAAGGAGCACATAAAATAGTATTTCAGTGACTGGTACACCCAGGCTACTCTGTGTCTTGGCCAACAACCCATAGGATGCCACTTTTTTAGTATGATTGTTGAGCAGTAACAATTGTATAGTGAGTGTAACAGACTACTTTCAGGAAGTAGTGTGGTTTAGTGCTCAGTGGACTGACCTAGGAGTTAAAAAGATTAAAATCTTTGCTTTCTGGCACATGAGCTTAAGCAAGTCAATCCTCTTCTGGTTCTGTTTTTCATCTATGAAATTACTTCAGGCACTTTTTATAGTCTGTTGGAACAAAGACGTTCAAGATATATCCAGTTTCTGTGTATAAAGTTTCCTGGGTGGCATAAACAGTTTGTACTCAGTTAAGCTATACATTAGTGGTTCAGGCCACCTCAGCAGAACTGCAGAAGTCCTGGTGATCTGCTTCTGTAAAGATATACAGCCAAAAAAGTCTTATGAAGCAGGTCTAATTCTGATCCATGGGGTTTTGGGTTTGAGGTGAAAATTACACATTTTACAAGCTCAAATGCTTATATAAAACCATTTGATTTCTAAAGTGTTCATTGGGTTGGTTTTTAATATAGTTATTTTTTTAAAAAAATGGTTTATTGTGAATTTTGTGATATTTTACATGGGAGAACATTAGCTTTACAATCATCCTATCATATATCATTACATTGCCATGGTTACAGTCCCCTCCATGCATCATCAACCAACCAAAGTGTTTGGCATCACTGTTTCTTTGGGTAGGATCCGGTATTCTGCTCTTCTCCTTGATGGTCCCAGGGACCTCTGCTCCTGGACTGCAAAGTCAACAACTACCCTCTTTTTGCTACAAAATGTTTACATTTCCAATCCTCACAGTCAGTCCTGATAGTAATTATTCTCTATTGCACCACATGAGTGGTATCCCCATCTCCTTTCATCAGCCCCGTCCTGACAGATTGGATGCTACTCAGTGGAGATTCTACCTACCTCTGTGCCCTCTGAATCTAGGCTCCTTCTTGAAAGCTTGTACGCCAGTCACTTCTTGCCTTTGTAGCCCCCCCATTTTGGGTAGTCAACATCCAAGTGCCCATCCCTGTCTATCCTGTGTACCGAGGGGGTTAGAATGATACTCACTGTAAAGATTTTTTCCCTCTTTTGAGTTACTCCATCTATAAGTGTAGGTCAAGTTCATCAAATTGTATCAGATTATACTTTTTTCCTCTTCGTTCTTCTAATTGAGTTCTTATCCAGTCATTGAAGCCAGGTCAAGTGGGTATTATCTACAAGTGTGGGTGTTCTTGTACATATGCCCTCTTTTCTTATCAGCTGGATGCTTCACTTGCCAATCTAGTCTTCTGTGGCTATGTCACTGACTCTGAGCCCAGGAGTCCCCAGGTCTTGCCATACTGCTGGCCAACCAGGTCTGCACCGGGTTCATAGGAGTCTGTTGAGCATGGTAGGACTTAGCTTGCAGCTTCACTTCCCCTTATTGGTGACTAACGTGGTCACCAGTCAGACTGCATGCCTGCTGGTATATTCCCACTTGAGTCTTAGTCTTGGAAGGGGGTTTGCCCTGAGGAGACCCCGACCACTTGCCTTGATGTCTCCTGGGCGAGCAACTTGCTTGTTCTTATAGTAGTTGGACTTTTTTTTGTATTTTTCCTGTTCTTTCAAGAAAAATCTTCTGTTCTTCTAGCCACCCCAGGCTGGTTTGTTTGTCCTTTCAAGTGGGAATTTCCCACCTCAATAGATTCTGGATGGTGTTACAGATTCCACCTATGGTCTTATGCAATGCAGAGGCTCCACAGGAAGCCTCCTTCATTGGGTAGGTTGTAGCACCATATTAGGTATCCCAATCAGTTATAGGCAGAAGACGGACTTACAAGCTTTCTATGGTGATATTTCTGGTTATTTCTTTCTCTCCCCCTCAAGTGTATATTGTTAATTTTTGAAGAAATATTTGTATTTAATTTATATAGTATGTTTTGTCTGGAATCTTAACTGTTTAGTAGCCAGAATTTGTTATTGGCCATGTTGTTGTTAGGTGCCATTGAATCAGTTCCAACTCATAGTGACACTATAACAAAATGTGACCCTGTCCTATGCCATCCTCACAATCATTGCTACATTTGAGTTTATTGTTCTAGCCACTATGTCAATCCTTGTAATTAATGCTCTTCCTGTTTTTCACTGACCCTCTCACTTAGCAAGCATGATGTCCTTCTCCAGAGACTGGTCCCCCTGATAACATGCAAAGTAAGCAAGACAGTTTTTCCATCCTTATTTCTAAAGAGTGTTCTCATTGTACTTCCATACGAAACCAAACAGTCTATCACCAACTTCTGAAAAAATGTCTGCTGTATCTGATTACAGTAAGATTTTTTTCAAGGGTCTGCAGAAAAAGAGCATTTGTTTTAGTGAAACAGCACTGTTTCAGAACCTCTTACCTTAAAAAGAAATGGATTCGCTATAGTTAATTCATCAACACAACAAAAAAGAAAGCTCAAAATGGAGGTCAGAAGAGACTGAAACTAGCTCTAGACCATACACTAGATACAATGAATAGAAGAAATGATGAACTAAAACAGCTGAACAGGAAATTTCAAAGGGCAGCTCAAGAAGACAATGTGAAGTATTATAGTGAAATATGCCAAGACCTGGAGTTAGAAAACAAAAAGAAAAGAGCAGGCTCAGTATTTCTCAAGGTGAAAGAAGAGAGGAAAAAAATGCAAGCCTCAAGTTACAAGGCTGAAGGATTCTATGGGTAAAAAATAATTGATACAGGAACCATCAAAAGAAGAAAGGAATACACAGTCACAGTATCAAAAATAATTGGTTGACATTCTATTATTTCAGGAAATAGCACATAATGAAAAGCTAATGGAACTGAAGTCCAAGTCACACTGAAGGCATTGATGAAAAATATTGATTTTATAGTTGCTCTAGGAATTGATGTAATACCAACTGAGGTATTTCAACAAATGAATACAATGCTGAAAGGTCTCATCTATGCCAAAAATTTGGAAGACAACTAGGTACTTGGCCAACCAACTGGAAGACTTTTGTACTCATGCCAAAGCGATAAACCAACAGAATGTGGAAATTACCAAACAATATCATTAATATCTCAAGTAAATTTTTACTGAAGGTAATTTAAAAATGGTTGCAGTAGTACATTGATTGGGAACTGCCAGGAATTCAAGCCGGATTCAAAAGAGGACATGGAATGAGGGATATCATTGCTGATATAAAATGGATCTTGGCTGAAAGCTGTATGTACTAGAAAAATGTTTACTTATGTTTTATTTATTATCCACAGACCTTTGACTATGTGGATAACAATCTGGATAACATTGTTAAAGAAGAATGGGAATTTCAAAACAATGTGCTCATGTAGAACCTATACATAGACCAAGAAACATTTGATCTAACAGAACAAGGGGATATTGCCTGGTTTAAAATCAGGAAAGATGTGCATCATCAGGGTTGTATCCTCCCGCTATGCTTATTCAATCTGTATGCTAAGCGAATAATCCAAAAACTTGGCATCCAGATTGAGATTTATTAACCTCTAAAGTGCAGAGGTTACAACTTGCTTGCTGAAAGTGAAAAGGACTTGAAATACTTAGGAAAATCAAATAATACAGCCTTCTGTATGGATCACACCTCAGCATAAACCAAAAATCCTCAGACAACCATTAAGCAACAATAAAATATTTAAGTTGTCAAGAATTTCATTTTATTTAGAACAATCCATGGATGTAACAGTCAAGAAAGCTAATAATATATTGCACTGGGTCAATCTGCTGCAAAAGACCTCTTTAAAGTGTTAAAAGAGCAAAGATGTCACTTTGAGAACTGTGGTACAACTGACCCATTTTAGTCCTCATATGCATGCAAAAGCCAGACAATGCATAAAGACGGCTGAAGAATTGATGTATTTGACTTACGGTGTTGACAAAAAATATTGAATATACCCATGGTCTGCCAGAAGTATGGAGTCCTGGTGTGGCACTGTGGGTTAATGCACCACACTGCAAAGTGGTTTGAACTGCAAGGTTGGTGGTTCACATTCGCCAGCTGACTGGACAGCAAGCACTTAACAACAACAACCAGAAGTATGAACAAATCTGTCTTGAAAGAAATTCAGCCAGAAGGCTCCTTAGAAGCAAGGACAGTGAGATTTATTTCATCTCACATACTTTGGACATGTTATCAGGAGGGGCCAGCCTCCAGAGA